AAGAAGAGGGGGCGGGGACCACCACCAACCCCCGGCCGAGACCCTCCTTCCCCTCTGCCCGCCATCAAAGGCCCTTCCGCAGCGCAAGGACCCAAGCCAATGCAAGCGCGCTCACCTTCCAGCCGCATCCCCACGGCCAGGCACTTCTGAAAACGGCAGTACGGGCACCTTTTCCGTTGCGTCTTATCGATCTTGCAGTTCTGGCTCTCCGTACACGTGTAGTGCTTGTTGTTCTGCACCGTCCTCTTGAAGAAGCCCTGGGCGAAGAGAGAGGGGGGGGGCTTGAGACAGACGCGCAAGGGGAGAGGAAAGGGAGCGCAGGCGGGCGAGGAAAACTATCCCAGGCGCGCGGGGACTGGGAAGGCCAGAATCCCCCCTGGCTTGTCCCGGTTGGAGGATGGCTTAGCTCCCCCGGGACAGAGAGGGTCTGCATCCCAACTCCATCCACGGTGGGTGGCATTACCCCTAACTCGCCCGAACAAAACCGCACCCAACCCGAATCGGTTCTAATGCGGCGTTTTTTCGCGTTGCTCTTGTGTTCGTGTGAACACCGTATAAAATGAACATTTATTTTAGAAAGTTTGCTGGCGTGCGAACACAGCCAAACAAATCGCCGGGCCCTCTGGATACAATTCCTCCCGTCGCAGAACCCTAAAACTGTCTACTTTGGCTCAAAAAAAAAAAGGGATCCCCGGATTTTGGGACATGTCCTCAAGACATCTGACTCCAGATCCACACAATTTAACGGAGGGAATTTTTATAGAAATTATTTAGGCCAGTCTACTCTCATATGATCCTCACCCCATGCCCTGCGAGGTAGGTTAACCCTGTAAGAGTAGCTAAGCATGAGCCCCCTCCTCTGGCCTCAGTGCCCCTCCGTGAAATGGGGTTCATCCTAGCCTAAGCGGAAGGATTACAAGGCTGAACAAGGATGCGAGATCCCAGTGCAAGAACGAATGGTGTGTTAATCATTTGAATTGTTTAAAATAATGTAATAGCAATCAACGCGAGGGTCCTGATGGAAACAGGGCTCGAAATCAAATCCCACACATTAATAATAAATCGATGGGTTGATACTAACGGCAGAATCCCTATTTTAATGCGGACCCCGCCTCTAGATTTCTTCTGCTTCGCAAAAACAAAACAACAAACAAAAAACCCTCATTCTTTCTCTCTCCTTTCCCTCGCCCACCCCTCAAATCCAAGGCACAATCCCGACCCGGGCCAAACCATTTTCCCGCCCCTCCCGGCTGGAGAATCCCCAAATCACCGAAAAAATACCCAGAGGCGGAGGAGGAGGAAGAAGCTATTTCTGTAAAGGCCCCACTCGTTCGATCTTAAAACGAAGGTGTCCTTTATCTAGAGGCGGCCTTTTTAAGGGGGCAGCCCCCCTTCTTTAAAAAGGAGGAGGGGGGTTGTTTGGGAAAGTGGCTGGGGAAAAGGACGCAGCCATTTCTTCTCCCTCACCCCGAAAAAAAATATATCAATCCAATTAAAACCCCCGCTCAATCAGGATTCAACTAGAAAGGGGAAGAATTTTTTCCCGCATTCGCCCCCCACCTTCAAATCTAAACCCCTCTCCCCCCGAAAGAACCCCAAGGAAGCCTCCCCCAGTAGCAATTTGGCCCTCGGAGCGCTGCGCTTCACCAAACCGGCCGGGCCGCGACCCTCCGAGGGACTGGTGGATGTGGGGGGGAGGGCGCGGGAGCCCACCTTCGCCTCGCTTTCGTTTCTAACCAGAGGCGCCATTTCGCTCTTTTATTTCCCATCTCAAAAAATATTTAGGAAAAAAAATGTCAACCTCCCTCCCCGTCCAGTCCGATCCGGGAGGGTCCCCGAAATGAAACTCGCGGGGTTTTAATTGCCCCCTCCCCGAATAAATATATTTTTTTTAAAGGAGGGGAAAAAAAACAGACTGGCAGGGTCCCTTCCGCGTTCTTGGAATGCCGTTCCCTTCCAGCTGCGGGTGGAGAAAGGGAGGCGTTGGAGTCTTAACAGATTCTCCCTCCGTTTCTTCCCAGTTTTCCCTCCCCCCCCCCCCCTCTCTCTCTCTCTCCTACTTTTTTTCCCCTTCACCCCTTCGGTTTGTCTTCAACCGTTCGACTTTCAACTCGTCCTCTCTCTCTCTCGGCTCTTCCCAGGAAAATCTTCGTTCCCAGAACGAAAGGAAAGGAAAGAAGGCCGGAGTGAAGCCGAATTAGCTGCTGCTTCTTCACCGACCCGGGACCAAAAAAAGGGGGGGGGGAGCGCTCATTTTTAACATCTGGATCTCCAACGCGTTTTTGGAGCGTTTTTTCCCGCGGGTGGGTGCGTGGAAGGATTGACGCCCGGTTTAAAAAATAAAATAAAATAAAACCAAATCCAAAGAGAAGAGGGGGAATTCGTTGGGCACTAAAACCGCCTTCGCCCAATTCAGACCAACTAAAGGGATTTCTGAAATGAATCTACGGGGGGGTTCTGGGTCCGCGCGGAATCCTGGGGTGCGGAGGATCGCGAAAGGTTCGCGCAACGCGCCCAAACCCACCCAGGCAAGGAAACGCCTTTTAAACGAATCTTAAAGCGACGCAAAAATAAAATGAGAAATAATCCCTTGCAGAGGCGACCGCTTGGGCTTCTCTTCCACCCAACTGTTAAAAACATCTGCTTTAAAAACAAACCAAAAAACACCAAACCTACACACAGATGGTTTTGGGCTCAAGGTGCCTCCTTCCAAGAATTGGATCAGCCAAGGCGACAAAATTATTTTAAAAAAAACGAAAAACCCGAAGCCTGCCACCGAAAAAGCCGTTTATTAATATTAAATCATGATGAGGAGGATGGTGATTCCTTGCCGTCAAGAGGGGGAAAATAAAAACCCTGACTAGATCCCAACCGGTAAATGGATCCGGAGCTGCGGCTGGATCCCGGGCTTCCTTGCCTCGCCAAACCCCTCTCTCCCCCGTCCGGGGGGGGGTGGGGAAGGGACCCCCCCCCCCCAAACCGCCGTCTTCCTCTCCGCCGCCCCGGAGCGCAGAAGCCGCCGACAGCCCCGAAGGCAGGTCTGTGTTGTGGGGCGCGCCGCCGCCGCCGTCGCCAGCGGGTCACTCGCGACCCTCCTCCCGGTTTTCGTTGACAAACCCTAATTATGATAATTCCGCCGGCGGCGGCGGCGGCCTCTCCGCGGAGATTGGCGCGCAGTTCTCGGGGCGCTTCGCCGGCCCCGAGTTGCGCCGGCCCCAGCTCCTCTGCGCGCCCACCCGGCCACCCTCTTCTTCCCCTCCCCTTCTCCTCACCTACCTTGCAACTTTCGCAGGTCAGCAGCCCGTAGTGGTAGCCGGAGACCTTATCCCCGCAAACGGGGCACAGCTCGTCCAGATCTTCGTCGTACGAATAATCCATCACCTTTGGCGGGGCCTGCGGGGAAAGGAGAAGAGGCCGGGGCAGCGGCGGGGGGGGGGGAGACTCTCTCTCCCCGGGGAGGGGGAAAGAGGGAGAGGGAGGGAAGGAAGGAAGGAAGGAAGGAAGGAAGGAAGGGAAGGAGGTTGCGGATGCCCCGACGAGCGGCGGCCAAGAGAGTGGGGGGCCAGCGGGCAGCGGCCTCCTTTATAAAGCCTGCGGGGACGCGTGCGGCGCGGCGCGGCGCGTCCGCACCGTTCTCCTGCGGGCAGGGAGCAAAGGAAACCCCCCTCCCCTCCCTCCCTCACCGTCGGGGAAGGAGGGCATTGAGAGGGCTCGGCTC